CGCTCCAACACGTACGAATTTGGAGCCAAAATGTTTATTAGATCCCAGGCTTTCCAGATCAACCCGTACATACGCGACATACGCATGTTTTAAACGACTAGGCCGCTTGAAGTGATCAGTTTGTTTTGGCCGAACGGTCAAATGCCAGTCACGACTTCTTTCAAGTTCGACGACTTCGAAGCCCGATTTACATGGCTTATTTTTCACTTTTCCAAAGTATTTTGCGACTACTAGATAGAGTATTAAATATATATCGTAAATTTAACCGTACATTTAGATAAAGTTATCGTTAACTTTGTCTAGTTCTGCTTTTCGCTAAAAAATTAACAATTTCCGCTATGATTTTGTGTCACTATTGGGGGCCTGGAAACGAAAAAAAAAATTAGATGCTGCGTCGGTGTGGGTAACAAGGTAATTCGGTTATATCAACCAAGTTGAAATTGTAAAGAGTTAAAAAGCTGACATTTTGAGCGTTGGTCCTTCGTCAGAGCGAATGACGAAGGGCTAACGCTCGAAACGTCAGCTTTTGAACTCGTTACGATGGCCAATTTATAGTTGATATAACCAAATGAGCTTTTTATTATAGTAGACGTGAGCTTTTCAAATTAGATTATACCGCTGAAATCAATCTAATTCATGCTTGAGAGAAAAACATTGGGAGAATTCAAAAGGATATAAAAGCGACAATGGTAATCGTCAAACTGGTCTTCAATCAAATCAACACCCCAACACTAGGCCGGAAGATGCTAATTCATGCAACATCAGATAGTCTCATCTGTAGCTATTGTTGTAGTTGTGTTTTTTCTTCTTCCTGTTTTACAAGATGTCACGCAATGATAAGCTGTGAAAGGACGAAGGGACCAGCCATCAAAACATTGTTCAACGAAGTGGGCCGGTTTGGTAGGCGAAGAGGACGAAATTCTGTTCAAGCAAAAACTTTGTAAATATTGGCGAATGCAAAGTCCGAGTACATATTAATAAGCTCTTTTATCATGTAGGTCAGCGATGCAGAACCATTCGAACTTTGGACATAGGATAAGTGATAAAATGATGAGCGTCAGTTGACATCACCCCAGAAGGAAAAATAAGGTGGAAAATTGTTCTGTTTCTGAACTGGAGTCCCCAAAAAGGCTGTGTTAATGCTTGCTAATATGCAATAACCCTGGTTTGTAACACATTCATAGAGGTCAAAATAAGTGCGACGTGAAAGACCTATCGTCCGCCGAAAATAAGAACGTCAAAGGCAAAAGGCGCGTAACGCACTTGACCATTTAACTTAAACTATTGCTCTCTTTTCACCTTCAAACAGTCGAAGAGAAGCGAAATAACTTCTGTAGTGTGTTGAGAATATAGTAGAAGTACTTTTACCAATGTTAGCAATATTACTGTAGGATTACTGAACGATGTGGAGGTGTTGTAATATAGTAACATGATTGTACCTGTTTATTAGGTATTTGAATGTTGAATAATATTGAAAAAGACAATGAGAAAGCGATCAAAGAGTGAGTGTCTCAACTGAATGATTACACAACAGCTTCCCTTCTCGTCACTGTTACCAAAGAGAAATTACTTCGAAAAACAGGTCTAATGTTAAAAAATTTACATCAAAGTTTGGTTTGACAGCATTCAGACATGATTATGTTCTCTCAATCTTTCCAACATCGATTTCTAAACCAACCTTTGAGTTTGTTGTCGAGCAGCCCTTTACGTAAAAACAAAAGCTTAACCATCTAATATTTTGCAGCTCTGCTGTTTCGTAACTGGAACAAAACGCTAATCGAAGAAATGAATTCGAATAGAAAATCGCAGTCGTGCGAATAGAGGATAGTTTTAAGCAATTTAATTCCCGACCATAGGTTGACAAACTGTCACAACTAAGGTAATTTTCTGGTATGCTTCGTTTTCCGCTTTAAACACTGCATATATCCTGACCCAAAACATATCCCTAACCCTGATCCTGATATCAAAGGGCACAGAAAGCTGATAGCTACTCAGGTATGTCACCTGTCGAGTCGATAACTAATCCTCCCTATTTGACCTCGGCTTCGGTAAATAATCCACAGTTACTGTTCAATCGAGCTCACCTCGTGTCCTCGTGAAACCAACTCCTCCATAACTTTCTTTAAGTTGAAATAGTGGGTTCCTGAAGCTGCTCCGCTAAAACCTGCAATCTTCGCCGAAAAAGACAAGTCCACCGTTATAAACGAAAGAAGAACAACAAGCGATGTTTTTAGCGCCATCTTGTCTCTGGGTTTTTAAGTTAATTGTGAAAGGTCACGCAAGAAAGGGAAAATGCCGAACGAAAAGAAACAGGGAGGGGGTAGGGCATTTTTTGCTCAGTTCAGGCTTTGAACATCACTTTCGATGAAACGTAATTGTTAAACGTAAGCTCTGAAAGGAATTTCCAGGGTCCAAGCCACTAGGAATTTGTGTACAAGTCGAGACCATGGCGCTAAGTCGCGAGCACCCGCAAAAAGAGCTTTTGATGCTCGGTCTTCTATGGCGGTGCTAATCACGAAATAAATAATGCAATCCTGAAGAAAGAGCGTTGAGTCCAACGATTTTTGCAGATGAAGCAGACTTGTCGGACTCAGGAGCAAAATAAGATGACGAAAAGACGCCATTCTGTCGTCAACATACCTTTGTATAAACTGTTCTATAATTTTGCACATGTCCTGGACACAGGAGCAAAAAGCTATTGTTTCATTCCTTCTGGCGAAGACTTTTGAAATTCTTCAAGCCTTTGCACCCTAACATCATCATGCAATTTCTCCATACTGTTCTCTATACATTTTCTATCATACTTATAAGGAGAATTTGTGTAACAATCAAGATCTTTCCTTAATTGGTGATCATTTCCTTTATTCTCCTGACCCTTTTGTGTGATTCAGGGGTGATATTGTAAGGAGAAATTAGATGCTAGTCACTCTTAGTGATCAAAGGGTTTAAGTGCACCTTGACCCCAAAACTTTTTTTCACTTAACGAAATAAGCGTATTTTTTGGAGCTTTTCGGTGCAAATATTTTTTATTTGCTCAAATCTTCAATTTTCTGTGCCCAGTCAAATACGGAAAATCAGCCGCCATCTTGCCCCACGACGGAGTTTAAAGAGTAATGGTTCTAGCGGGTAATGTGACGTCAAATCGAGAACAAGAAAGTTTGCATCTCACACATTTTCACTTGTTTGGGAAGGTTTATAGTCGATATTGTCCGAAAATATGCCGACTAAGTGTGTTGTAGAAGAATGTATCAACGTGCGAAATTTGCAAGAGGGTATGGGGCTCCATACATTCCTCATACAACACACCTAGTCGGCATATTTCGGACAATATCGACGACAACCTTCCCAAACAAGTGAAAATGTGTGAAATGCAGACTTTCGTGTTCTCGATTTGACGTTACATTACCCGCTAGAGCAATTCCTCTTTAAACTCGGTCGAGGGGCAAGATGGCGGCCGATTTTCCGTATTTTGACTGGGCACAGAAAATTAAAGATTTGAGCAAATTAAAAAAGTTTTGCACAGAAATACTCCAAAAAATAAGCTTATTTCGTTAAGGGGAAAAAAATTTGGGTTTAGGTGCACCTTAACTCTTTGAGGCAAAAAGCCAACTTTGTTCCCAGGGTCCTTTCACTCCATCTTCGAGAAAGTATAAGGAGAGAGAAGACCCCGGTAACGAGGTTGGCAAAAGGCGGGTAACTGCTCCTAAAAATTGAAGTTTCTCATCGGATCGATAGATTCTATATGAAGCTGTCTGCTAGATACAGAATACACTTTAAAAATAAATCCTTGTTGGGTATGAACTTTTGAATTGATTGGTAGCGTTAATGATTTAAAGAAAAACATGCCCTTTCGTATGCAGTACGTTAAGGCAAACAAGTTAAGAGGAAGATCTGGGAACGAGATAAGCGCAGCCTTGAGAAAAAACGAACATTTATACAAAGAGACACTACACTACGCCAAGTAAATATCTCTTGATTCAATTTAATTAAAAATCAGTGATGCTTTATTTTTCTTTTTAAAAGCAGTTCTCAATCCAGTGTCGAAAGTAATCAAGGATCTATTTGTTTTTTTCTCCTTCGCTCTGTGATTGGTAAAGAAAAGTAACGCCACTCCCTCAACCAATCAGATGCAAACCTTGGTCGCCCGTGTTTTCCCGCGCTTTAGGTAGCTTGGTTGGGTTTACTTTCACTTCTCATTGGCTGTTAAGGTATTTTCCTTTCTTCTGATTGGCTGTTGTAATTGCTTTGGTTTTGGTTTTACAACATTCGATCGAAAAGCGCTCTATAAATCTTATTCATCGTCTGGTGGCTCCACTCTCTCAGGAATATAAATAGGCTTTAAATCCTTCGGTTTGTGTGAACAGTAACTTGATTTTGGGCAGCCCACGACCAACACGTGGTTTTTCTTGACCCAAAACCTCCACAAGCCATGATGAAATCCTCTCGCATCTAAATCCCACATTTTCAGACAAGTAGCAATGTTTTTCCAGGTTTTGTGATCATAAGTTTCGTCCATTCTTATGTAAAACACGTACAATTCGCCTTCAGTGTCAGGAACGAAGTTTCTGAATTTTGTGCACGGCGTCTCAGTATGGTCCAAAACCTTTGCTTTGCTACAAAAAAAAAACAACAACAAACAAATAGACTGATAATCTCTGTTGCTAATTCATATTTTAACCGGAAGGGAAGATTATGATTTTGTGAAAGAACTTGTAGCCCAGCTTCGGTTATAGAACCTGACGTCACTTGTGGTTTAGCATGTGATTCCCCCCCCCCCCTCCCGACCAATCCGCTCTCCCTCTCTTCACAGAAACCATCAAAAGTTAACAAGCTAATCGCAACACGTTACTCAAACCTGAAAACCATTAGTCTCGAAACCAAAACTTCCACGCCTAAAGCGGTTTTAAGATCGCACATTTCAGTTACAGTTAAACAGTTGGAATTGGGTACGGGATAAGAAAACCACGAGATTCCCCCAAAATACTCCGATTTATTTCCTCCCCCCCCCCCCCCCCGTCCCCAGGCGATAGATAATGACTGGTTCCTTATCGTTGCATCATGAAGTAATGTCCCGAGCAGAAGAGGAACTTGTGTCTATCCTAGAGCAGATCCTCAACAGATGATTAGACATCTCGTTCACCTGCTGCCTACTCCCCAGCTCACCTCAACAGTTGGTTGATCTCCTTCTCGTAGTTTTCTTTGTACATTTTATCAACATCCAGCTTTACGTTTGGCTTTGTATTCAGCGAATGTGTTGCAAAGTACCGGGCTTGCATAGGTCCCCCTACATTCAGCCCCTTGCCGCCGAAATGATATGTCCTTGAAATGTCAGGAATGATACATTCTCGACCTTTCCTGTTGTACTCAGCTCGCATCCACATGTCCCAGTCCACAAAGTCATCAGGTTTCGGCCATTTCTCTTCCAGTTCGTTTTTAAAAAGCTTACGACTCAACACCCTGCAACCAGGAATCCAGATGAAATATTGCGCGTCACATGAACCCAGCAGATTGCACTTAATAACATGCATTCCCTCCCATATAACCAACGAATCACCCCTTCTCCTCCCCCCCCCGCCCACATTAACTTACTTTTAGCAAAAGTATATAGTCTAAGATTGTTGAACCAGCGTGTGAGAAACCTCTCTGACGCAAGTGAGGAATTCTCCGAAACTATCCTCCACCCCAGCTTACTTAGACATTTCACTTCTTCAGATATCAATGTCTTATGATTCAACATCCATATTACAAAACAATTAGATTATATATATCTTATTAGAAGTTATGTTGTGTAGTATCGCTGAGTATTTTTACGAGTTGTGCCGTACTTTTACGAGCCCTGCGGGCTCGTCAAAATACAAACAACGAGTAAAAATTTCAGCGATACTACACAACAAAACGGCTAATAGGAGATTTATTATCCAACACGCCAAATTGTCATTTCAGTGCTGGCGAATTTCGCGGATATTTCTGGAGTATAAATATCGCGTGATGTTTGTACTCGTCTCGCGCTTTATTTGTACTCTACGAAGCACAGTTGAATAACAATATTTGATATCATACGGAAGTCTATTGAAATGAAAATTTTGAAACACAATTAACAAGCTGGTGATAGTAGTGAGCCCATTTTATAAATTTTCCCCCGAGCCACTTACCATCCCAGGCCTGGCATAGTGTCCACTCTGTACATCATGGCAGGGTCATTACAGAGATGGTCATAGCCCTAAAATAAAACATTGGAAAAGGACGGTTAGAAACGTGACAGTTGGAAACTGCAATACACTAACAGATCAGTTATCTATCGCCTTGGGAGGCTCAAAGGAATTTCTTTTTTTGGTGGTGGGGAATCACATGGTTTTCAGGAGGAACTGAGGGGGGGTCAGTCTTCAACAACAGAATGTAAAGGGGAACTGTAGAAAATTGACTGACAATTAACTGCCGATGGGGGGATCATAAAACAACCTCGTCGCGTCTGGAATAAACTTGACCCAACTGATTGAAACTATATGAAAAACCAGCTTTTTTTAAGAGAGCTTTAAAAAGGTATCTCCTGAATGACTCCTTATTTAAATAAGCATTCTATTTTTMAAGTTATAAGTAATTTATATTGTAAATAAAGTGTTATTAGTTAGTTTTGTATGTATAGTACCAAGTATGTAAATTATGTAATTGTTCACTGACAAGTCCCAGACGGGGATGTGTTCAATAAAATGTATGTATGTATGTATGTATGTATGTATGTATGTATGTATGTATGTCCCCACGGCCTTTCCCCAACCAAGGAAAATGGCGCTGGGAACGAGGTTGATCATAGAAATTTTACAGAGCTTTATGTGGGATTAAGTAATTTTATCGTGACATAACCAAACTTCCCCCCCCCCCTTATCCCCACCCCCTTTTACTTGGTAGGTGCTAGGTGCGCAGTTTCTCTGGTACTTACACTTATCTCCAACTTTTCCATCTGTCGTTAACTAACGAACCAGCTTGGATTTCGGCAAGGGTATAATTTTATTCTTACCTGATCGTTCCAAGCTGATATACAATAAACACTTTTGTCGTTTTCATAGACCGGGAGAAGCTGTTGAAAATAGCTAAGAATGTCCACAGACACGTCGAGGTCCTCTTCGAGGATCAGTAAGAAGTTAGCATCAGAATGTTGGTCGAAGGAGTCAACGATGGATTTCTTGTAGTGCTGAAATAAAATGAAATACATTTTTTATACTTGAAAATGAATCGTTTGAGTCCTTAGGAACACCTTCCCAACAAAAATAGTAAGGACAAGATTGCAAGGCAAGCTGAAATCTATGCCTCCCATGTGAAGCCTTTGAATTTATTGTACCTGACCAATTCTGGCATTCCGCCGGCTGACTCCGGCGTGTTGCTCAAGTTTGACCCCAAGGAGCCTGGTGACAGAAGCAGGCTCCGGCCAAAATCCATCTATGAACACCGTTATCATACTCGTATCCAGTCCATGGACCTTCTGCATGCCTAAAAGCATGCGCAGTAGGTAGCTTGGTCTGTTACTGGCCATGATCGCTATAGGAAGTTTGAAGCGGCTTCCATCCGGGAATGCAGGTGGGTCGATTTTCAGAGGAACAGGATTGTCGCCTGAATAAGGATCAAATGTAATTATCTTATGAAGAGGAAAAATCACTAAGGCGGAGAACGGGCCCCAGGCGAGGCATCTCATGTTATTTCCGGAGTATCCAATATTCCGTTTGGCATTGCATATATTGACCAGCGGATTACAAAGTAACTGTCACTGTGACATTAATGATGATGTTGGAATTAGGGTTCTCGCGGAATTATGTTCATTTAATCATGAGTTTATCAACCGTCAACAGAGTTCATTTTCAAACTCTTGAGTGGTTTTTAACTTGACCTTCAACACCTCACCCGATGAACAGAACTTACTTCCAGACCAAATACTCTCTTTCACGGAAACTATGTAATGCATTTTCACACATAACTCTTACACCTGAGATCAATGGCTCTTCATCTCTCGCATCCTTTAGAAAAAAACTTGAATGAAAATATCTATCGTTGACAACTATTAATGCTACTATATACTATTGTATGGGTAGTCGCTAGCGCTAAGTAATTTTCTCAGCGCATCGATCTAGGCTTGTGGGGAACCCAAGCTTACAAGCCTTGATGAAGTAAATAATTTAAGTTTTAGTCGTACACCATAGACTACTTTCATAAATGGCTGCCGGACTAATATTCTTTTGTCTAAATTTAAATTAGCCCTTCTGGCCTCGTTCTCCAGTACAAAATTCAAAAGAATACATTATCTCAAGTGAGGCCAGAAGGGCTAATTTAAATTTAAACAAAAGAATATTACTCCGGCAGCCATTTATGAAAGTGGTCTATGGATCTAAATAGACATATTCAACGATTAATTACAATGAAATCAGGAAAATAAACCCAAAGGTTAAAAAAAATACTTACAACTACAAACTTTTCCATAGCCCTCAAACTTTGCACAGAATTCTCTCCTCCGTCTGTTTGTTACTGTGTCTTCCCACTGACACTGGACGACATGTTCAGGTTTAAGTTTAATCAGGGTTCGTATTTTTATCGGACTCGCCCACTTGTCAGAATTAGTAGGGTTCTGATAGCTCTCTGCGTGTATGATGCGTTGAGTTTTCGTCACAGACACAACAAAGGCCCAAGTGGAGCGAAACCTCAAGTGCTTTATGAAGGAACTACCATAACTTGATAAGAAGCTGATGGCGTCTTTAGACAATCGGGCAATAGCGTCGTCCTGATTCGTGCAGAGAGGGATAAGGATCCGTCATTATTGATCGACTAGGAAACGGAGGGGGGAGGGGAGAGCTTCAGTTATAACCAACAGAGTTTAAAGTGGGAACTCCTCCGATCCCCGACCCTTCTCCCCCCCCCCCCACAAATAAATGCAGACCACTCTCTTACGTTCACACTATACTGTGAAAATTCTCTTTCCTTGTTGTGCTTATTTAGTTTTTTCTTTCTTTTAAACGGAACCTCGCTAACTGTACGAATCTTTAGACGCTGAGTGGTTAAATTAAATATCAATTGTCTTTAAAATGGAGGGAATCTTTTAGCTGGTATAATCGAAAATTTCCCTCTTTGGTTTGAATATCTTGACCGTCAAAGGTGTGGTTGCATGAATGAGTGGAAATCCAATTGAGGAAGGCTGTTTCAATTTTGGAGCAGTGGCCAGTAAAAATATCAGTGGCGAATCAAGGGGAGGGGCACGAGGGCCCGGGCCCCCTTGTTTTGGGTAAATTAATAAACGCAGAGGGAAGAAAATCCGGCAGGTAAACGCACACAAACAAAAACGCCCCCCACCCACCCCCCATTCTTTGCTCGAGGTCCGGATTCGCAATTGAATATAGTAGATAAGAGTTAAAAAAAAAAGGGAACAACAACAACAACATAGCTCGTCAGTCCCGTGTGGACATTGCTGAATTATGGTACGGCTGCTAATGAAAAACAGCAACAAACGTCCGGCCATACTTTCAACCGAAAGAAAGTCCCATGGGTACCGTGCGAACGTAGCTTTGAATGAATTAAGTCACGTCATAGTTAAATTCATATTTTCTGCAATCCTCGTCTCCTTGACCTGCCTTTTTTTCCCCTCCTCCCTTGTTCTTGTTTCGGGTTTCCCTCATGAGTGCTCCAGTGCTCATTTATGCTCTGGACAGAAAGTTATAGGGGGGGGGGGGCTTCTTCAGATTCATTGCCATGACCAGAACACCAAACAATTGAAAGTAT